TTGACAATCTGAGGAACTGTGGTATTATTAGTTGGCACTTGAGCTCCATCTACTGCCCACTACTGGAAATTAAATAAAATCTCAACTCATGCTTTTTAGAAAGAGCAGTCATCATGGTCTTAGTATAGGGCTGCTTAGTGAAATACGTGTGGTGTGCCTCTTTCTAATCTTTATAGTGCTAAGGGGGTTGCATATAGGAGGGAACTTTGAAAGAACGGCAAGATTTACTTCGACACACTGTAAACTGCAAGATTTACTTCGACGCACTGTGTACTGTACTGTGTTATCAAATCCTCCAAGTCTCTTGATTTTGAAACAGTAGGCTGTGCTTGGGGAGGGAAGCAGCCTTGTTTCAACTAAAAGGAAGCATAGGAAATTCTAAGAGCCAAGCATTCAAGGAGGAATTACGTATGTGAAATCAGCCAATCCTCTTCTTTCTTGGTAGGCCTTCCCCACTTCAATTTCTTCATTTTATTTTTTACCAACTTGGACTTTCTGTCTCTGTTGTTGTTCAGGCAGGCCTTCCCCACTTCCATTTCTTCGTTTTTATGTTTTACCAACTTGGACTTTCTCCGTCTCTGTTGTTGATATTGTTGTTTTAATTTTTGTTATATACTCGGACTATAAGCCACCCAGAGTAGATTCACTGAATCTAAATGGGTGGGGTAAAAGTCAGAAAAATAAATAAATAAAATAAATAGGCTCTCTAATTTCTTTCTCCTCTTAGGTTTCTTTCAAAATTACATGTTCTTTAACTTCTTGTTGAGGGCTCACCTAGTTAATGCCTTTTACAAGCATGTCACCTTGCTCCACCCCACCCAAACTAGATGGTTAAACTCAGCTTTTTGATATATAAACAGCAAGCAGGCTTAGTAGTCTGGACTCCTTGACCCAGAGACATTGCTAATCTCTATTTATTTATGTGCCTGCCTGAACTTATTCCGCGCTGCGCCTATGGGACACAGTGAGACATGACTCATCCTGCCATGTCCATGGATTCTTGTGATGACCTTTCGAAGCTAGAAGCGATGCCAGCTAATGTAACAGCCACCTTTTGGTGATAAGACAGCAGAATGCTGAACTGCTATGGCACACCTGCCATTTGCTCTCAGAGCCGGGCCGAGGCCTACAAGTTGGTAGACAGAGGTGGGTGCCTCCTGCGATAGATTTTGTTCTATGAAAGGGTAGCAAAGACTTATTTAATGTATTACTCTTGAACCTGTACATCCAGATAGGGAGAGGAGCTTGCATGACTTTCTGAATTCTGTGCCAACATAACTTGATGGGCTTTTGCTATCATCTGGCTGGGCATGATTTACTTCTCTGCTTGGAAGACAAATGTTTTTTTGCCAAACTTCCTCATAGCCAGGGATGTCGCCAGCTGCAACTCTTCCATCACTTTCTGATCAGTGGGTTCTTCTACTTTACAACTATCACGACATTCTGTAAGCAGCCAGAAAGACCTTCGTCATGCGAGTTTTACTATACTGCTCTGCTTCTATGAATGAATGTGCAGACCAGAGGTTGGACAAGTTCCTTATTTTGGACAACTCATAGAATGCCATTAAGTAAGGAATGCTGGTTGTTGCAGTCCTAAAATAGCTTTTCTAGGAGCTGGCATAGTCAAGGTGGTGGTGTAGCAGGTGACTCTCACAGATAAAACTCAACTTTCTAATTGTGTCCTTGTCCAAACAAAAATGTTCCATAGTTTGTCCATGAGCACAGATGGCTCTGCTTGGCATTTGAGTTACTAATGGAACAACAATCTACAAGTGATGAGACAAATGTACTGCCTGTGGGCACAAAACATACTTAAAAGCAAGAAGATTTAGGTCTCCTCTTCTGCCTCCCATTTTTATTCACGTCAGCCAATCCGACATTTGTTTTCTTCCAAAAGCTGAAAGTATCTTTGGAGGAATTCAGAAGGGCTAAAAATGAGGTGATGCAAGGTCAGATTACTAACGGCAGAATGCTACATACCTGTGTTAAGCCACAGAGCATGCTCAGTGTGCATGCAATGTTTTCTAGATGCTTAATAGTGCAGGCATGCTGAGCTGGGTGCCTATGAAATTTAGTTTACTCTGCTATTAAACACAATGCTGCCCTCTGGGTGGTTATCAAAGAGCACACTTCTTCCAGAATAAAAGTGCAGCCTAAAGGAAAACACTCATATTCATATGTAGTCTCTGTTTATAAAAGATTGGAAGATAGGATTTTGTGGCTGAAATATATTCTAGATATACTTATTTGCCCTAGGTTGACTTTGAGACCTGTCAACTTATTTAAATGTTTCAACATAAACTTTAGGAACAATTGTAAAATGTTTTTAATCACTGCCCCCCCTTCTTGGGTGGTGTGTTTAGAACTTCCATAGAAGTTTGTCTTTTTGTTCCTCACTGAAGGTTTAGAGCAATGACACATAACTTGTGAATATCTGGATGTTGGTGCATTATAGCCCCCGTGATCCATCAGTATCGACTATGATGGCTAGACCTAATGGTAGCTGCAATACAACATCTTGGTGGCTGCAACTTACCCAGAGCTGCAGAATATATGAAATAAAACGAATTAGGAAGGATATAGTTTCTTTTGCATCATTTTAAAATGCTGTTCTTATCTACTTAGCCAATATTTGGAGGTGAATTTGAATGGAAATCAGCACTTTGCTGGAACTGTACAATGGCCCAGTGAGAAATGCTTTCTCTTTGTCCTGCCCAAAGCAATGTAAACTGTGAGTTGACTGGCAGATTTCAGCTGAAATCCCTAGAGGTATTTCCAAATCACAAGATGTAGCAAAAACAGATGCACTCGTTTTCTCTAAAAGGTTGCTTTCTACCTGTCCAGAAAGTAGTCTTACGTTTGTGTCTACAAATGGAGAACAGACATGGAGAAGGCAACTCAGTAACAAATATGGGAGTAAAGAATGTAATTTAGCTTGACAAAATGCTTCCAGATTCTTGACTGTCAGCTCTTGGTTGGAGTCCATCCACTGGAATTTATCCCAAGTCATCCAGATTCTTGACTGTCAGCTCTTGGTTGTCCATCCACTGGAATTTATCCCAAGTCGCCTTCTCTTCATTTGATGCCAACCTCCTCCAGCATACAACTCTGGATTTCTCAAATTTCTTTCTCTATATGAACAAAAGTAAGGTACCTTGACATTTTTTAAAAATAAATACCCCATGGATGTTTCCAGATATGAAAAGACAGTCTGAAGAGCTCTTAAAGATCTAGACGTCACTTCCGCCTCTCAAAGCCCTCCTTATTTTCCAAGGTCAAAGAAATATTGATTAAAATATCTTGTAATCTGGGAAACGCCTCTAAGAGCTCCGGCTGTAATCAACCAGTCAGATCACTTCTTTACATAGTTTTGGGCAGACACAAAGAAAAAGAATGATTAAACTATTTAATAAAATTCTTTCTGCTCCTTATTTCTATCTTTGAAGGAAACACTAAGACAGTTGACAGAAGTCATAAATACTACACCAGTGCTAAACTGCTGTAGTATTTATGACTCGTAATCTCGAGATTAGACCACTAATGTGCTAAACTCGTAATCTCGAGATTAGACCACTGTAATGTGCTCTATGTGGGGCTACCTTTGAGGCTGCTGCGGAAACTACAGGTGGTGCAGAATGCAGCAGCCAGATTACTTAGTGGAGTGAAAAAATACCAACATATCTCACCCACTCTGGCCGCATTGCATTGGCTGCCCATCCGATTCCGCATCGACTTCAAAGTACTGATGCTTACGTATAAAGCCCTAAACGGTTTAGGGCCTCGATACTTGGCGGAACGCCTACTCCCACCAAGATCTACCCGTATCACTCGTGCGAGCCAGGAGGTGAAGCTGAGGAGCCTA